GAGGCAATAGCAGCATATCCAGCCATCAAAAGCACTGTCTTTTATGATCATTTATACAGCCTTGTTCGCTACGGATGGCGGGGCGTGTCAGGGTATAGAGGTTGGGGCGGTACCAGCTTGTTTTCCACCAATCGTTGTCGCTTGCTCGCTTCAAGTTGTTCATCTGTCTTTAGCTCGTTTGCATGCTCTCTCGCTGCCCTTCCCTGGTCTCTAGCCCGAAATCCCTGTCGACTGCTTGCCTTTCGCTTAAAACAAGGCGTTTTTGACAATTCCCTCTGCTTTTGTTCAACCAGCACATACAGTTCTGTTATTCGATCCCACTACTCGCGACCCTTTCGACGCAGGGTACAGCATCGGGTTGGAAGAAATGGCGGGGTCAGGCAACTTCCGTCCGAGTCACTTCCTTCAATACGACTCCTTCATCCCTCCCATCCTACCTCTCGTCTTGCTAAGTTTCCCAACTCCTCATCACTTTCCTCGGTTTTCAATTTTTTTCTTCTTTCGCTCACAGAAAAACTACCGTCGAGTGGAAAAGACTCTTATCAAAACCATATACGAGCAAGTCGGCCCTCTTCATAACACTGAGTATGAGCCCCCTGATCGGATTTCCCCCAAAGATGATAGCCTCTGTTTCGACGGGTTTTCGCGAAATCTGCCTTTTATCCGGTTACGAACTGTATCTGCAGGCGTTAAAGGCTCACTGGGGCAAGCTGCTCTATAATCCACTGTTGTTGTTTCCGCCAAGACAATAGTGCAAGATCTTCTGATTAGTAAATATTATTAGACAGTCTGAGGGGAACGGAGGGAGGGAAGGGGAACAAAGAAAAATTTTAGACCCGGTTTCGCGGAGAAAGGACAAAGAAGTACTTTAGTCCCTGTTTTGCATGCGTCTATAGACGAAAACCAAATTAATCGTAGTTCTGTGCTTTTCAGTAGGGAAAAAAGGAAAGATAGTGAATAGTGCAGATGAAAATTAGTCAAATAGAATTAATTCAGTGTTCCGAATTCTATGCAAGCCATTATTTGTAGTCGGGTCACGGCTATAGTGCACGGGTATTCATTCAAATTCCGGGCCAGAAGAAAACGAGAAACTTTTAGCTAAGGGACGAAAGGACGAGAGTGTATGGAAAATTACTCTCCAATTCATTGCGACAGTTTACAATCATTATCCCTCCAAACGATGGGGCGTGCGGCGGGGCGTGCATTAGAGCGCTGACCGGCGGCGTTTCCCACCAATGATGTCAAACTGATTAGTCCGCAAAAATGGGCAGAAAACGTTGTTCTGGCTTCCCTCAGGTCCACGTCCCTTCACACACCATATCGTTTACAAGGATCATAACTGTACAGAGAGGGTAGTACAGGGTAGTTACCGTGGGTACCGGTGGAGGAGGAAGTGCAGTGGACAAATTTAGCTTCGATTAAAAAATGTACCC